CGAAACTATAAATAAATAAAAAGAATTCAGTTTTTCATAAATATCTCGAACATACTTAGTCAGTATAATGTCAAAGACTGAGGTCCAAGCAATGTACGCCACGTGGAGGGAGTGGTCGGTGGAGGGGCTCGTCCAAACTTCAGCCACCCACCCGTACACGCTCGAGACTCCGGTGCCTGTGTTGGAGGTATTTTCGGATGAGAGACATTAGAAGAAAAGGAGGACTTCGGTCTATCTCTTTTTCCTCTTCTTCTCTGGAGGCAACAGAGTCCGAAATAGCCCGGCCTGTTACCCCCATCAGCCGGGTATTACCCAGCGGTAAAAAAAGGTCCGATCAACGCTCTATACTTCAGTGTATGACTAACTTTGCATCAATATTAATCTAATTTTATGTTCAATCTTTTGTCTTGTAAGATAATAAGATCTGATGTACAGCGGTGACCGGAGCCTATATTAAAACGCAAAGTGAATAACTACTGTTACCTTGTTAGGTTTTATTATTTAAATCTTCAAATGTTTGTTCTCATTACGACTTTATTAACCGCACTGTGATTATTTCTACATTAAGCCGAGTTTTGCAAGTTTCTTGTTTAAAGATGATCGTTGCAAAAGAAAATTCGGTACAATTATTTGTATTTTTTATCACGTCTTTTTTTGCTAAGACAGGCACACTTCCTATCTGGTATTAAGAGGTTATAGGAGCCCATAGACATCAACAACGTAAATGTCGCCGCCTATCTAGGGACATGAGTTCCAACTCTCAGTTCTATAGTGCAACGGCTGCCTCCCCCTTTAAGTGAGAACGCATTACTGCTTCACAGCAGCAATAGGCAGGATGGTGGTATCTGCCTATGTGGGCAAACATGACGCCATGCCGCCAGTAAAAATAATCTGTAAGCTCATGTATCCATGTTAGCTCATAAAAAAAATTGAAGGTACATACTTTATAAATTAGAACTTGATTTAGTCACTTCAAAGGCTAAACTTTGAAGCATTCGAGGTGTCTAAAGCTTTTCGTCTGGATTAAAGCCACGTTAGGAGCAAAGTTACATAGTTTAATGAGAGAAAATTAAGGTTAGGTGCTTCTCAAATATTCCTTTGAGATAAAGAATTTTAACAAATAGCAAGCGAGTTTTTTGTTGTTTGTAACAAAAAGTACCCTCGAAAGTATCAAAATCTGTAAGCCCCTACGAAAGGTCAAAGGATTGAGCATGTAACTGAAAGTCCACTAATTTTCTTTTCCAAATATTCAGTGATAGGCATGATTGGAATTCTTTTGGGACTTACCCTGACATTTCCCTATAAACGTGATATTCATTTTATATACTTTGTATTTATTTTTTATTAAAAACATTTCATTATTATCTCATATTTAATTAAAACTATATCTTGACATTTATCTTATCAGGACCAATAAACCGTGCAAATGGTCTTATATCTATCTACGATTTGGAAAAACCGAACGAAACTCAACTAAGTTTTTCATAAAGACCTTGAATATACACAGTGAGTATAAAGTCAAAGATCGAGGTCGCGGAAGCCAGAATATATAGTTAGAATTGTTCAAGTTTCTTAAGCTAGAAGTTCCAGTTCAGATTGCGGTCAAGCCAACTGTAGACTCGTATTGTTAACGAAATGACATTCTGTATTCGGTACGGTTTCAAAATTAATGTCTTTGTTGTATCAGACGAGACGGAGTTTTGAAACTATTCTAGAGAAAATTAAACGAACCTGTTTTGAAGATCTTACTTGATACAATACATCCAAATATATCAGAGGATAAAGGTTACGAGATCTAATCAATTTCATCTACTCATAGATTATCTGTGATTTTTGAAAAGTAGACTTACGATCAACCTCTTTTTGAAATACCATGGATTAACGAACTAAATCTATAGACATCGCAACTTGAATTATACTGCCCCCACTCCACCACATAAAGTATTATGTCCAGCAGCGGACTGCTATAGGCTGACGACAATGATGATTTTATATCTTCATGATGAAAGTTGTACCATTCGTCGTATTTCTCTGTGATGATGTTATTTCGGCCATCTGGTGTAGTGGTAAGTGACATGGTCACTACACAAGGGGGTCGCGGGTTCGAGTCCCGCCAATGGAGGATATTTGTATGATAAATATAAAATGTCTTTTCCAGAGTTATGGATGTATATTAAATATATGTATGTGTATAAATGTGTTTAATAAAAATCTTAATTTTATTTCCGTTATCTGGTACCTGTAACACAAGTTCTTTACGAACTTAGCACAGGACCAGTTAACGTGGCGTGATTGTTAGTAAATATTTATTATTATTTATTTATTGTTTCTTCATGATGGAAATTGTACTATTCGCCGAACAAGCCGCACGTACCTATTCATCAGACAGTTAAGAACATAATCTCATTACTAGAGTTCGTAGACAAAGCATCACGATCACCTTACGATAATAGATCTGTTTAAATTTTGTGAAACAAAACGTTTGGTTACACAAACAACCTAGGTATTGAATCTATTCGCACGATCTGGTCTGGTCTGATCAACTTCGATATTCTTTCTCCTTAATATTATAAACGGCAAACTTTGTGTACAACGATGAATGTTTGTTACGTAAAAGTCATGGAATAGATTTTGATGAAACTTCACTTAATATCCTATATATCAGAATTGCATATAAGTTTTGTAATAGTATAAATAATGAAGATATTTACCGCGCTACATCTTCAAAGAAGTTAATGTTGTTCCTACAATATGGGAGAGTCACAGCTTTGTGTGAAAGGGTTACTCTATATAATATTTATTAGGATGTAAAGTTACAAAATAGGATAGGAAACTGCCACAGCAAACGGTAAGGCAGGTATTTTCTAATTAATAGTCGAAGAGACTTTTGTCACTAAGACTTTAAAACTTGTAGCGTTAGTTAGTAGCACAATATGGAAATTTTGAGGAAACTAACTAATCTAACTTTGAGTTATTTTTGTCGAAAAGCATTTGTGTATTTCGATTTGGACGGTGTTGTACTCTTCTCACAATTGAGTGTTTTGCCCCATATTTTGGTATAGTTGACATGTTACGGAAACACATGAAGTCAGCATCGGAACGGTACTTCGATAAGGTTATGCATCATAATAATCGCCTTATCGTTACCGCCGCTGATTACTCCCCGAATTCTGATCACGCAGGAGCCAATCCGTCGTCGCCCTAGACACGTCCTTACGGATCCATCAGATCCAATAACCTTTGCAATCGACGCCTTCAGCTCTAACACTAGAAGTAGGCTTAGGGACCCCGGTAACCGTACTCACGGAACTCGACAAAGAGTTCGACGTGCAACCCAACCCATGCATCAACGCGCTGAGTTTCTCGCCGGATCCTCTCAGCGGGTCGCGATTCCGATCCGGTAGTAGATTCATTCGCGAAGCGGCTGCCCTTGAGCTGTTAGGTCTCCTTTGGAGGCGCTCGGGCAGCTTTTAGCAAATTCTAGCCCTCCCGGCTGAGCCTTTGCTCGCCCACCTGCCCTGGTAAAACTGGAGAGGCCTCCGGGCTACCAATAATATAGCAAAAAAAATATCATTTACATTATAAATACGCGCAGACATATTATTTATACCAAAATCTCACCTATTTTGACATGAAGCAATGAAATGTACTACGATTATAGCTTGATTGAAGGATATAGATGAAAATTAATTGATACCTCAACTTAGTGCTTCGGTAATTGATTAGCACAATTTAAGGTGCGAGTTATAAGTTTTTAACATAAAAATGCTTCTAATATTTCTGACAGAACAGATCTTGGAGATCTGGTAGGTAATATTTCTGAGTGATCTGGAAATGTCACTTAAACAAAATGTATCTGTAGCATTTACAACAAGTTATGAAGTTTACTCAATAAGTATCTTATTTGTTGACTAGATATTCTTTCAACTGCAAACCTTGAGCGGCCAACACCTTACATTCACTTATTTTGTACCTGGCAAAAGAATTATCATTACTTTAGGGGCTAAGTTCTTGGGTTTTCTATTGAGAAACGTCGCTAAAACATTTTCAATTACTTTCAGAATGTATGTCTGTGAGATTAAACTTCCTCTTACATATTTTTCGTATTATTAAGTAAAGGAATAGGCAAAAAGGTTGTTTGTTCTGTCAAAGACAAATAATTCTCGGGCTTTTTGTTCCAAGAATTTCCTCATTGTTTTTTTTCTCTTTGAATGAAAAATTCTGTTCTCAATAGCATTGTTTCTATGAGAGGTTATTGTTTTGAACGTTATTTCTCGTGACAACGATCATTTTTATACACTTAGTTGTTATTAATAATACTAAAAAAACATTAGTATTTGTGCTATTGTTGTTGGTTTAAGATATCACCATCACCACAACCTTCGTACTGTGGGTGTCGTAAAAAGCGACCCAGATATTTACCGGAGAACGGACAGCAGCGTATTCTGAATATTGTCGTAACTCTTACCTATTGTGATCAAAAACCGGAATTTATCGGTTATGGGGTGTTTTGTGATACCGCAGTGATGGGCATGCTGCCTATTTCTGTTGTTCAATGACACGTTCGGTGTATAGGGTGGGGCAGTTGCTATTCTATGTAATTCACACTTCGACCCCATCTCTAACGATTGTTGCTATTAACGATATCTATGAACCCACTGGTCGATCTATGAGCCCACTTAAACCAATTTAAATTAGAAAAAACTGAGTAACGGTTGGCGCCAGCTTGGTTTTTCCCTGGTGTTGCTGACATTCATGACCTTCGGTGAACACCCTGTGGTGAGTCGTACAGTCTTCAGCCAACATTAGCAATAAAAAAAAACTATTCGGAAATTAAATTTGGAATTCTGAATGATAAGTTATTAATAACAAATCTTCAATGATATCATATTAGAAATCTTGATTTAGTTTTACTTTAAGAGACAAAACACAACTAGGCCATCGATGATTTTTTATTTTTGCTTATTATATAAGTGACTAATGATTAACTATTGTTTCAGATACGAAGAGGTATCTCAGTTATAAAATAGAGCTGAGTACAAAAATTCGTTAAGAAGGTCAAACGACACACTGCACCGATGAGGCTTGTGAATCATGAGTACTTGGTGTTGCATCGCGATCATGATGTCCACTATCAGTACCGGCGTCCTTTCACCAGCACCTCAGAAGACCGAAGTTCATGAGGCCTACGGTATGTTTCCAATTGACATCACCTAAAATTATAATTTTATATATAAGTGTTATATTGACATCACCTAAAATTATATATAAGTTACTATTGAAAATGGTCTTTTGGATACATAGTTTTATTCACTGACTACCTTGATATAGTATATTTTATTATTTCCGTAAATGAGTTAAAGTATTGGGTGGCTTATAAAATCATGAGCGGCGTCGCTCTGAAACATTAATTATTGTATTAAAAGCTGTCCTATCTTTCATACCGCAACGCATGAAAGCATCGCGGCAGTCTCTCATCACTCTTTACAAAATTTTCCGATAAAGTAAATAGCAGCTATTATTTATTTAATTACCGGGAACTAAATACTCAATTTTTTACTACTATAATTTGGAAATTGGGGCCATCGTTTTGCATTTGAAAAACCACAACTTATTTCTCCTTCCATGCACTTTTCTGATAAGGACATATTTCAATATCATTATTCTCTTGAAACAGATAGTTTCGTGGTTGATAACAAATATAATATTTCAAGGCTTTTTACCACGACTTTTATTTTTAGTGCAATGCAAACTCTATCTGTGATCTTCATATTTATGGCGTTTGCAACAGCACCTAAATACAAAATTCGAGTAAGAACCCTTTAGTATTAAGAGATATACTCATCAATCTTCTTGTTTCAGACCGCCAATATTGGTACACCCAAGCACAGGAAACATTACAGAAACGCCTTCAATACTCGACAGACAAAAAACCAGTAGCCAAGTAAGCTACATATCCTTCAAGTTAAAATAATTTTAAAATTTGTAACAATGAGTAGCTAAAAAATAAATTTAATTGAACTAGTTCAGTATTTTTTTCAGTTTTTACGAGTCTAATCTCGCGTGTTTATTGTCATTGTATTATTTCCAACGATTCGACTAATTTATAGTTTTCATAGTCACGGACGACTTTTTTTGTTTTATTTTTATTGCTTAGATGGGTGGACGAGCTCACACAGCCCACCTGGTACTAAGAGCCCATAGACAGCTACGACGCAAATGCGCCATCCACCTTGAGATATAAGTTCTAAGATCTCAAGTATAGTTATAACGGCTGCCCTACTCTTCAAGCCGAAACGCATTACTGCTTCACGGCAGAAATAGGCAGGGTGGTGGTACCTACCCGCGCGGACTCACAAGAGGTCCTACCACCAGTAAAAATGCGTAATAGTAGTTTTAATTTTGAAATTCTTTACCTTAAAGCTTTTAATTGGTTTGGTCGGATTGAGTTCAACAATTACAGATTTTGAAATATTTCATAGCTAATGTATAGTAATGAAACAATTTAAATATGCTCAATTCAAAAGATCTTCAATTTTCTGTGGGTTCGCGATCCTATGTAAATAGAAATGATAATTTAAAAATTTTGTGTAACAGAAACGTGATCCTTGTGGTTGGCGACGGTATGAGTCTTACAACAGCTACTGCCGCGAGGATACTTCGGGGGCAACGGAGGGGGCAATCTGGCGAAGATACTGATTTAGTGTGGGATACTTTCCCCTCGGTAGCTTTAGCTAAAGTAAGGCCTTCTTTAAATTAGTCCATTTTATATTGAAAATACCGAGTCCTTGAATATTTCTGTAGTAATCTCGGAACCATATTGTTTTTTTTTTTTAAATCTACATATTAATTTTTTCCGGGGATTTGTTCCGAAACGGTAAAAATATGTACCTATATAATAAATTTCTGAACAAAAATGAAAGAAAACATTCAGTCTTATAGTTTCGGGTACATTTTTAAAACAAATTTATTGTTGCACAAAATTACATAATGAATTAGTAAAAATAACAATAAAGTTAAACCTTTGCATTTGAACAATAATTTTATTTGTAAACAAATTACTGTTCATAACTATTCATGAAAGTATTTAATAGAACTTTTCTAATCGGAGTCAATATTTAAAAATATAATAAATTAAAGATGACACTAACTTGTAAGCTGTTTTATTAAATTTAAATTTGTGATTTTCAACCAGACATCTTCATCTGCATAACACGAGGTCATTAACCGTCAAACGTGTGCCGATCGTTTTTTTTTGCACGTTACGTTTTTTCACATTCACATTTTTATGTATAAAAAATTTATGATCCCTATTATTTATTGATACTGTATTAGAATATAGCGCTATTTTATTGGAATAGGTTGCCTTGCATCCACAATAATCATTGAATTTTTAATATATAGCCATATACTTTTAAATTCGATCGATATATATTTTCGATATTATTGTTTAGTTTATTAGAAGCTTGTTAATCGACGTTATAATTGGGTTCGATATTTGTTGTCAAATTAACATTTTAAAAGTATCTAATACAATTATAAAATTATGTTTTTCGTTACCGTTCGTGAGGTTTGATTTGAGATTAAGAGACTTTTATGTTGTCAATGATTTTAGACTTTATTTTTTGAAGATTATTAATTACTTTAATATATAAATTACAAAAATACGCTTGAATACCAATCTAAAATGAAAATGCTTTTTTTTATCTCAATGATTTTTGTTATCGGTTCTTGACATAATAATGTATGCAAATTTTCTAGTTCATTGGACGTCTTAAAATTCGTGAACATGACGATGGAAGATAAACAAAAATCAATTTATGCTAATATTAAAATATTTCATTTGCTTTTTATAGAAACCTGATCCACTAGACTGGTGTTATGGTGTATTGCTTAGATGGGTGGACGAGCTCACAGCCCAACTGGTGTTAAGTGGTTACTGGAGCCCATAGACATAGCCCACCTTCAGGCCTTCACCCTTTCAAGTCTCAGTATGGTTACAACAGCTGCCCCACCCTTCAAACCGAAACGCATTACTGCTTCACGGCAGAAATAGGCGGGGTGGCGGTACCTACCCGCGCGGACTCACAAGAGGTTCTACCACCAATAATTTAGCGGGTGTTGATTTTTAATACACGATGCTATTCCTTCACTGCTATTCCTGGAAGTCAATCGTGAACATTTGTTATGTACGTATTTCATTAGAAAAATTGGTACCTGCCTGCGGGATTCGAACACCGTTACATCGCTAGATACGAATGCACCGGTACTCTTATCCTTTAGGCCACGACGACGTTTTAATTGAACATGCAATTTAGAAAAGGGCACATCTCTGAAAATGTCAAATGTTCAGGAAATGAAAAAAAACTGATTATTTTCTAAAGCAGTGTAAAATTTAAAATATTAATTTGAGATATATTTTAGTGTTAATTAGCAATTACAAATTACTGAAATTATTATAAAATGAGTGTAGGTAAGCCTCAAAACTACATGTATATGAAAAAAGGTATTTGACAAAATTCAAAAATTGAAAAAAAGTGCTCTTTTCGAAATTGCATATTCAATTAGTAATACAATAATTTATTCTTGTTCAGACATACAACATAGACGCACAGACGGGCGAGTCGTCGGCTTGTGCGACAGCGCTGCTGTGCGGTGTTAAGGCGCGATATGAAACACTTGGATTAGATGCTGGCGGTCGTTTCAACAACTGCGCTTCAACTATACATTCAAAAGTGCCTTCTCTCGTTGACTGGGCCCATGAGGCTGGTAAGACTCAAATTTTTAATATCTTAATTATTTTTTAATAGCAATGATTTATAGAATTCATGGTGCACCTGATAGCAAAAGCTACAAGAGAAAATTCAAACCAATTCAGTTGCTCGCAGTGTCACACATAGGTTCAAAATCGATTTAGTGGTAATCCTGTTTTTTATTCATTTATTGCTTAGATGGGTGGACGAGCTCACAGCCCACCTGGTGTCAAGTGGTTACTGGAGCCTGTAGACATCTACAATATAAATGGGCCATCCACCTTGAGATATAAGTTCTAAGATCTCAGTATAGTTACAACGGCTGCCCCGCCCTTCAAACTGAAACGCATTATTGCTTCACGGCAGAAATAGGCAGGGTGGTGGTACCTACTCATGCGGACTTACAAAAAGTCCTACCACCAGTTTACTGCATCACGGGTCCCCGTTTCGAATCTCAGACGGATCCTGTATATTTATTAAAAAATGTACTTGCTCTTATATCGTAATTGTGTTACTTGTACCTATAATACGAGAGAAAATCCTAGCTCAAGGGTCACTTAATGCCTCGTTAACAATAATAAATAAAATGTGATACGTATCTATACTTTTTTGGGATTCATAATAAAAATACCCTGTTAGAGAGTGATAATTGACCAAATGAATTCTTTTTTTCAAGTGGGGACTTCACTCTCACTTTTATATCTTCATTACTTTACTACCGATTGGGAGGCATTTCAGTAAAACCGTTCAGCGAATATGGTTCAGATGCGATGCTAACGTTACTCGGGCTTTCAGCATGAAGTTATATGTAGTGCATACGTAAAACATAATTTATCTATTTAGAATAAAGTTACACAAGAACCATAAACTTCTAAATTCTGTTATCATTTCAATTAATATTTTAAGATGTTGCTCTGTAAAAATAAAGAATTTTACTTTATTTGCTTCAAATTCATACATGACTACTGCTATTGCTACTACTACGCTCAACTGTAAAAACAAATAAATTACATTTAATTTTTTTTATTTTATAGTAAATTAGTCTAAAGTACGAGTATATAGAAATTGAATTGTACTTCATACAATAATCTACACTAATCCAAACTACTTTTAAAAAATCGCAAGCGCGGCAACATTGGAAGTCATCGTGGCCTGCGGCATAAGACGCCCGGTGCATTCGTATCTAATTATACGACTGTGTCAGTGTTCGATTGCCGCAGCACGTTCCAATTTTTCACATGAAATACAAAACCTAAAAAAATTAACTTTCATGATGAAGTAATAATGCCGTGTAATAAAAATCAAACCCGCCAAAATTATAATTTGCGCCCGCAAAGGCGGTACCATCATCTTGCCTATTGCGGCCATAAAGCTAATACGTTTCGGTTTGAAAGGTGGGGTAGACGTTGAACTGAACTGAAATACTAAGACTTATAACTCATGTCTCAAGGTTGGTGACGGAATTTACGTTGTCAATGTCTATGGGCTCCGTTGACCATATAACGCAGCGGTCGCGGAGCCGGGTTGAATTACCCCAAATGGGGTAAAATGAAATTTTGGGGGATAAAAATGAAACTTTTGTGAGTAAAAAGTATATAATTATTAAAGTGAACGTTCTTTAGAATCGTTGTGATTTCAAACTCGATGAAACGAAATGTAACGAAACAAAAAAAAATATTTTTTTCAAAATTATCATGGGGGCTATAATATGAAAGACGCTAAAAAGAAGCGATTTCGTTTTTTTTTTGTTTTGTTCTTCGCCATGGCGTAATATCAACATACACAAAAATATTTTGGGGTAATAATTAAAAAAGTTCCCCGACCGCTGATATAACGGCAGGTAGGTCGTCTGGACATCAGTTGGAGAGGCCTATGTTCAGCAGTGGACCGCAGACAGACCGTGATGATGATGATGAGGTCGTGAGCACGACCACCCATTATAGCAATAAAAATTAAATAAAAATAAGTCCACTTCCTTTACAAATAAAAAAAAATTAAAACGTACACGTCTGAGTTGCGTAAAAACGAACTAAAAAATACGGATACTGTATGAGCCCACAGCTTATAGTCTCAAACCGATGTTGCATCTGACGAAACGTTCATAAAACCATATCGGCTGTTTCGGTTGAATGCAAATTCTTTACTGTTCGCTCTCACACTAAATCGTGACTGACATTTGTGAGTGCGTTGTTTATAAAATTCATGCTGTAACAAAATCGAGGTAAATATTATTGTTTTCGAGTAGTTTCATGAAATTCGTATATTTTTTGTTCGTGAGTAAGGGTTATTGTGTTACATAAATAAGTTTCCTGACGGTTTTCGCTGGGGAGATGGAATAAGGGTAAGATTGCAAAGACATGAGGATCTTTTAGTATATTTTGTACTCGGAAATATTTGCTCAGATTTCTGTTTTTTATCGTAATGTTAGTGACGGTATTATTGTTCTACAGTATCGATTTCTCTCATTTAAACATTTAAATCTAAATACATACATATTATCTCCTTGAAAATTATGAATGAGTTTGACGGACATGAATGAAGCGTTGATAGTGATGACAAAACAAAGAGCAAAGAAAGCACGTTACGTATAAAATAAGTATTTCACTTAAGAACAACAATCACTCAGAAAGCCAATTTTCTGTATCGAAAAATAAGGTCAAAGTAGGCGTTTATCTTTGGCGTTGTTCCTAAAATAGTTTGTTCTTTAAGCAATGAATGTGGGCCGCGTTCAAGCCTCGTCACTCTTCACGGTTCTATGGTTTAAGTAATCACTTACACGCTCGCTAACTTCCCGGGCACTTTGCACATTCAGCCAAAATGTCTATGTTTTTTACCGGTTATTGTGGGCTAGATTTTCTACGAATTAATGCTATTTATCTATGGCATTATTATTATTTTATTTAAATAGAAAACAAAAGTTTTAAGCTATTGCATAGCTTTTATCGCGGGCTTTGGGCGCGGCGACCGAATCAAGATATTCCGTAAAGAAAATAAAACCTAACACCCCCCACTTCGTCTACCATATAGCTCGCTTTCAACACATTCACACGTTACGCTTGTGTAGTGTTTGTGCATAAGCGCGCGGCGTGACGTCGCATTGCATGCGCATCATGAAAAGTCTGCCCATCTCTCTCTCGCGCGGTCTAGCTTATGAGTGTGAAGGGGACAGTTAATGTTTTGCCTTTTTTAATGTTTATAAATATAGCATGGTCTTATTTTATTATTGTTTTAATATTAAATTATTATTGTCGAATTATAATTGCACAAGTTGATAAAAAATGCTATGCAATAGCTTTACCGCAGCAGTCCCCGAGTGCCACACGTGTTTTTTTGTTTTGGTATTGGTATTGGCCGATGAATTCACAGAAATCCTTGGCGAAAGTAATAATAGAAGCCAACAGACATAACAAAGTGAACGTCAAGTTTGAGATATAAGTAAAGATCAAACTATAATACACAGCTACCATAGACATACAACAACCAGTAATCTATTCTTAAAATCAGAACACTGGTGCTGTGGTATCTATCCGTGCGGGCTCATTATACCGTCATATACTACCACTAGTAAATGCCGATTGGTGACCGTAGTTTGTTAGTATACCTACAAAGAGAATGACACTCTCTATTGCCCCGGTGACGCACTTAGTCCCATTTTACAACACTCATTGGAGGAGACGGTGTGGTAACTTTCTGGGTCGACACCATACATCGAACTTAAACCGTAAGTTACAAATAAACTTTAGTAATAAAATATGATAATAGGAACTCAAAAGTATGGCTTTGCCAGAACATTCCCTTTTACTACTGCATCATGTTGGCTTTCTGTTTATAGCTCTGTGGATGAAAAGGCATACGGTTTCATATCGATGCCTTTATTTTATGGTTTTGGCACCGACCCCTTTCAGCGTGAGATTTGCAGACGTTTCAAAGCTCTTCTTGCTCACACTCTCTGTTTATGAGATTCGTGAGAGTGAGATGAGCAATAAATTTTAGTACGAACTGTAGGTACTGACCCCGTTGAGATAGATTAGGTAATCCTAGTGAAAGTTAATGCAGAAATAAACTAAATGATTTATTAGATCGTTTACTGTCTTATTATGTTCGGTAGAGAGATTGCTAGATATTGTGTTAAAGAAACATAAATACTGCTTTTCCAGAGTAAAACATTTTTTATGTGGGGCGCAGACTATAAAGTGTAATTGAATATCAGTTTTAAGCTCTTGAAATTAAAGACAAAGTTCCAGTGATCGCTATGGCCAGCAAAGTCATGGAAGCACAAGATTGTAATCGGCTTATAAACCGGGACTAAAAGTACGGCGCAGTTTAGTTCGAATGAAAAACGTTTAGTAATAATATTTGATCTCCTTTGATTATTAGGGTTCGAATGAATTCCATTTACTTAATCTACACCGTAACTGCTATTTTTTTCTAACAATAAACTAACGTTGACAAAAACTTTGGTAAAATGTGGAATAAATTTATTTTTATTGCTGTTTCTCGGTCTATTTTGTAATTATTTATGTATTTTATGTTGTCATTATACAGTCAATGTTGTGTTTCGTTATTGATGGTGGCGTTCAGGCTGTGACGCTTATGAGCTAAAATAATCACTTCATACCAAGTACGCCGTGACCTCGTGCCATCTAGAGCAATTAAAACAAATGTACTTAAGGGTTTTTTTGTTTTCACTATCTATAAATAATCATAATACCGTCTTCTGTCTAGGAAAATCAAGTGGGATAGTGACGACAGCGAGAGTAACACATGCGACACCGGCGGCGTTATATGCTCATGCCCCCTCACGTTACTGGGAGGATGACAGTCGAGTCCCTCCGACAGTTAGGAAGGACTGCAAGGATATTGCTCTGCAATTGGTCGAAAATGAACCAGGACGTAATATAAATGTGAGTACTAGAGCATTTTTTGTACCGAAGTTCTTTATGGGATGATGCGGAGGGGTACCCTAACCGGGAAAAAACGTCCGTAACGTAAGATTTTTATTTATTAGTAGATTAGTAGAATAATACTAATTTAATTTAATTCTAAATAACGTAAAAGTGAGTTACCCAGTTGACTCTTATTTGTTTCTTTCTCGCTGTGTGTGTGTGTTTATATCCCATATGGTGAGTCTGTTGCCCTCGTTTTGTTTCCATCTCAATCAATTGATCTCTGCCTTACCTTCTGTTTGTATGTACCTGGGTATCAATAATAATTGATCTCTGCCTGGAACTGCTTGACTTGATGTGTATAGCTGTCTCATGGTGTTTATGTTTATTTATTGCGTGACCGTTTGCTTTGCCGTGTGTCTGACTACCTGATTGTGTTTCTATCCCTATCATTGTTCATAGCGTGTATAGCAAGCAGTCGGTTCGCGGTTTATCTGACTATTACAATATTGTCGTATAGTAAGGAAAGTTATATGGTGAGAAACTATTACACCGAGTATAATTAATTACTCAGCGAGGTTAATTAATAGTTTAGACACTACCCGAGCGCGTTTTAGCGGTAAAACGCGCTCATCTACCAATTAAACCGAATCGTGTTGACAACCCTAAATTTGAGACTACATACAAGAAAAATAGTTTGCCGAAATAACTTACTATATTAATATATTATGTTATATTATATTACTATTTACTATAAAATTAATGTTTATATAATTTTTATTTAATGGTATCTTCTTTAATAAATCTTAACAAATGTGCACAATTTGAAGCACAACACCAAAAAAAACTCATAAACTCCCCGTGATTCGTTGCACCAACTGTAACTATTTTTACTATTATTAACATTATAGTTTAGGCTTTAAGAACATCGATTTTATTAAAGTGACGGCAACATTATTTAAAAAAATATATTTTAAATTTCCTCAACACTAAAATATTGTAATTTGAAGTTTCTTAAATAATTTCTTAATTTTTGAAAGTTAATTCCACCAAATTTTAATTTATGAACTAGTCTAAATATTTAACCAATGATATTTTAAATATTTAGGTAATTATGGGTGGTGGTAGAAGACACTTTCTACCAACAATCACGACGGATCCTGAACATCCGAACCGTGAAGGTCGAAGACTGGATGGTAGAAATCTCGCCGAAGACTGGGCTAGAGAAAAGAAAAGACGACGGTTGAGAGCTCAGTACATACATTCAAAGGAGCAATTGGCAAAACTGGATCCACGCACTGTGGATTATCTTTTAGGTAAGTTTTTTAAACCATTTCAGATCTTTGAATAAATTCAAAGTAAATAAGTGCAAAATCAACAATTCACAATGCAATGGACATGACCTAGTACATGCTTGTATCATGTGATGAGAATGCGAATAATCCAGAGCTAATGAATTCTGGTTGTAGGTACAATATTTATTTTAAATATATTTTCGAACAGCTTTCTTCACAACGCCTATATTTCATTTTGTTCGAACTCAAAACTAGGATAGCTCTTCTTATAACAAGATTGAAAATCCAGGCACTCATCTTAAGCTGAAAGATGACATCTACATTGTGTTATGACGGCCTCCAGTGAATAATTAAAACAAAGTGATCAATGAATTTTAGGATACGTCCCGCCAAATTAATCAAAATACGATGATAATCACTTGTTCAAAATACCCAAAATTGTTAGGAGTGAAGTTTCAAAACCCCTTTAAAAATAATATGATTTCATAAACAATTCACCCTTTAAAAAAATGTCTTTGCTGAATACTCTACGAACAATATTAAGAAAGATATGTTATTGAGTCATAAATATCTGAGCTCGCATATAAACCAACAAGAAAATTTTTACCAATTGCTGCTTCGTCTAGAACACACACATAGTATAATAGTATGAATCTTTATTTTATGTAAATAGTACAGAGGACTCTTCGCGTTTATTAAAACAATTTTACTCGATGTTTGACTAACAATATCAATAAATTGTTCAATCGAAAAATATTTTCCGAACACGTATTAATTAATACATTTTAAACTTTCACGAATTTATTTGTTATACCTGAAATACCCTGCTGGGCGTAGGTAATACTAGCGGTAGGGCCTCTTGTGAGTATCCGCACGGGTAGGTACCACCACCCTGCCTATTTCTGCCGTGAAACAGTAATGTGTTTCGGTTTGAAGGGTGGGGCAGCCGTTGTAACTATACTGAGACCCTTAGAACTTATATCTCAAGGTGGGTGGCGCATTTACGTCGTAGATGTCTATGGGCTCCAGTAACCACTTAACACCAGGTGGGCTGTGAGCTTGTCCACCTATCTAAGCAATAAGAAAAAAAAAGCGTGGGTTGGAGAGTGCAGTTATCCGCGACCCGGTTGCTCTTTCATAAGACGTTTGTAGAGCAGCTTAAAGAATTCTTGTAAATCCTTCGCTGGTCTCTAAATTGGCACACGGAAGGAGCCTCTAACCTTTTGGCCTGCTTTTCGGCCTTCTTCCAATACTTTTTTTGTTTTGCTCCCAACACATGCAATCGCAAAGACCCACATAACCCGAGCACGCACGCACATGGTTCGTCTCCTTACCCTAAAAAAAAAAGACATTTAAGGAGCCAGGATTAGGGTGGAAAATCTCTCACGGAAATCGAGTATCGCCCACCACGACACATTGTCACAACGCATCACAAACATGACACTTGGCAGAGACAGGCTTTCAATTTGTGGGGCAAAAATATAGCTTCAATATTTTATTTCAATCCAATTACCTTAAACAAACTTGGAATAAATGTAAAAATAAGCAAATCGTTTGAATGATTGTGTAAACAAAACGTTATCACTTTAATTTTTATTTATGTATGATTAACGTGACACGGCTAAACAAATCAGTCCCTTTATTCGAATTAATCTGTTCCGACGTCCCTTTGATATTTTTTCCAATGATTTTTTAACGAAAATGTGTTTTCTGTCCACGATCATAAAGTTCACTTTGGCAATGCTTCTGTGATTTGTAATGGCAATGGATATAATATGATATTATTTTTGATTAACGTGTATTGTATTGGTAGACTGAATTTTAAGCCGAATAGAAACAATCAACATTCTCAGTTTTACCAGTTTTATAATAATATATCCGTTTCGAGACAATTTTTATTGGCTTTGTAAAACCAGTTATCGATATATTATGGAAAATAAGATATCGAATAATTAAGTTATTTTTCGGAATTCTGAGCATGGTTAATATTTGCTAGTAATACATTGTGCTTTTGCCAACGTTTTTTCCTACCAGAACGAGCAGATGCAAGATGGCATATTTACTGTTTACTAATTTTCTTAAGTTTCTGTCTCTCTAAAGGCGAGTAAGTTTGCCTGTATAACTACTCACGGTTGACTGCATGCTAGCAATTATATTGAAATTGCCAACGACTAACCCAAAAGCGGGACAATAATGGGAATCTTGAGCAAATTAAATGGAATCGCAATTACCTTACTAAGGCAATCTACTCTTTTAACCGGTGTGCATTATTGAGTCGTGGCATAATTGCCCAAGACGGTGGTACTCGTTTAGGGAACATATCCTACCATCCACATTAAAGATATGATTATTTTTATATGGGGTTTGGGGATTTAAATATTTATTTTATTTACCTATGTCCAGCAGTGAACGTCTGTGGGCTGATAAGAAGGGGTTTGGGAATTAGTAGGAAAATAGATGTTGATACTAAGTAGCAGGGTGAAGGCTGGGTCAAATATTAATGATCTCGGATTCGATTTTGTTTCCTTCAAATTTAAGCCGTACATTTCTTTGCTACTGGTGGTAGGACGCCTTGCGAGTCCCTCCTATTTCTGCCGTGTAGCAGTAATGCGTTTCGGTTTGAAGGACGACGCAGCCGCAGTTACAAGTGAGACCTTAGAACTCATGTCTCAAGGTGGGTGGCGATCAGGTAGGCCGTGAGCTCGTCTACCTAACTAAGCAATAAAAAAAGCTGAACAAACATAAAACATATTGACAATAATCTAATATCAACGTACAGAACGTCTCATATCGAAATATTATTAAAATGAAATTGAATATCTGTTCAAAGTACATATCAGAATTTTAATATATACAGTTATATTTTTTCTTATTCAATATTACGTCTGAAGGCGTATTTGCTACACTACAACGTATTTCATATTTGTATCTCTGGAAAAATCTATTTTTTTATTTTGATCATCGAAATAACAAAGCTATATGAATTTTGACGCCTTTAGCTCTAACACTAGGAGCAGGCTTAGGGACCCCGGTAACCGTACTCGTCGAACTCGGCAAAGAGTTCGACGTGCAACCTAAACATGAGCCCGTTGAGTTTCTCGCCGGATCTTCTCAGCGGCTCGTGATTCCGATCCGATAGTAGATTCATTCGCGAAGTAGCTACTTTTCAGTTGTTAGGTCTCCCTTAGAGGCTGTTCGCAAATCCCACTCCTCCTGGCTGAGCCCTTGCTCGCCCACCTGTCCTTGTGAAACTGAAAAGACCTCCGGGCCAACAGTAATCCCTCAAACATAAAAAAAAATGAATTATTTCTAGACTTTTAATACTTGGGCGTATGTGCTTCGCATGCATACGAAAGTAATTAAATAAATTAATTTCATAATTCTACTTAATTTATGATCTACTTCTCCGGGTTCTCTTTATAACCACGATTGCCCATCGTACTAATATTAATAAAAATAATTGCTTAAAAACAAATTTACCATCACAAATAGTCGGAACGATCTCTTATCATCTGGGTTTTTGTAAGATCCTCTGTCCTTAGAGGTATTTGGCCCAATCGACGATTAAGGAAGTGAAAGCCGAGGCGATTTATTTTTCTAAGGGTCCCAGAATTGTTTTACGTTTAAAATAGTATAATCTTTTAAGCTTGATAGAATAATAAATTTCCTTACCTACGTAATATATTTGTGATTTCATTAAAATACAAAACAGCATCACTAATTGATTAGTAAAATATTTAAGTAAAAGATTAAACAAAATACAAGATAAATAAAAAAACTTTAAATAAAATTAATCTAAATCATATTCTAGAATATATTTTTTTCTCAATAATAAAGGCAATTTTGTTTAATTTATCCGCGTCGTTATATAAAGAATAACAGTGTTCTATTAAAATAAAATCTTCTGTTAAAAAAAATCCATTCACGGCAGATCCAAACAAGGTATTTGCATGACAAAAATATTTTACACTAAAAGCATTTGCACTAAACGTTCAAATTTAAGTACTGTGCAAACGGTCCACGGGCGCTCTGCCTCCTAACGATAGAAGTGGACTCTTCATTGCCCCCTGAAAGATTGAGAATTTCTGTTGAAATGGCCACGGAAATTACAAAAAAGCTTTATGTTTTAGTTATAGATACACAATCTAGTGATAGACAAGATATAATGAAGCACTAAGATTTGTTTTTTTTTTCTAAATTTAACCTATTTTTATTGAATTCTATGGAATGGTGTAGTATATTTTGTTCTTAGCCTATAACTATCGTTGAAGACTCACAATACAATCTAAGACATGTTACATAAAATACGCCTCAAAATTCCATAACAAAAATTGACATTTTATACATTTTTTTTATTTCAATAAAAGATTCTTCCCTCTCTCGCTCTCTTCTCTGTTTCCCTCTCTTTCGTTCTTCCTGTGCCGTACTTACAGTTGAAGATCCAGTGCAATATCAATTAATCTTCCACTTAAACGCATAAATTTTAATGCTTCTATAATATTATTATCAGATACTGAATCTGCATATTACTATAATTAACATGAATAATGACTGTTATCGCATTTCAACAGCACTAGAGTAAGACCTAGTAAATTTGAAGTATCAATATAAGTTATACTAAATAGCATGCTTATAAAATATGTATCTATATATTATGTTTATCTTAATATACGATTTTATACATATTTCTTCTGTGCGTGTTTGTCACTGAACTCAAACGGCTGGACCGATTTTAATGAAATTTCCTGTGTACCTTCAGGTCAATTCGAGAATGGTTTAGATTTACAAATCAGCCCGGCAAATGGCGCTGCAGTCGGTATCAAGGTTATTTATCTTTCCTAGAAATAATTTATATGGCAATACAACGTTTGCCGGGCCAGCTAGTGAATAAATAAAAAGACATGTAATGATTACAGTGTCTTTAGACTTAAGAGAAGTTTATTTGATATAATTGTACTATGAAATCGTGCGCAGTGGAAAACGTAAATGAGAGTGGAAGTCGGAAAATTAAAACCAACCTC